GCCCGTCTCCGCCGTCGCCATGGGGAAGTCATTCGCCAACTTCATGTGCAAGAAGGATTTTCACCCCGCTTCCAAGTCCAACATCAAGAAGGTGAGGGGGGCCGGGCCGGGCCGTAGGGTCACAGAAGGGTTCGGGTTGGAAGGGACGTTACAGACCACCGGGTTCCGAGCCCTCGGCCTTGCGCAGGGACATCTGGCACCAGACCCGGCTGCTCAACGCCTCCCCCAGCATGTCCCGGCACCGCCGCAGCATGAGTCGGCCTTTCCCGGCGGGACCGGGCTGGAGGGAAGGAAGAGGGAGGACAAAAAAGTCACGGAAGACTTGAAGGTTCAGGTTTACCTGCTCCCAGGTGTGTGTACGAGTCGCTGTTCCCTGGCTCCAGCGTTCAGCAGCAGATTCTCTGGGTAATGAGGCGCTGTACATCGTCTGGGAAAACCTGCACCTGCCGGCCTGTACCCGTGTTTTCCCAGCATTTCACACCTGCCTTGACCTGGTTCCAGGTGTTGCTTGCCTAGAGCTGTGCCTTGCCAGGAGCTCCCCGGAGAACCCAGGCTCTGGGGGCTGTGGGGTGAGAGAGTGTCGCTGCGCTCCCAGGGTGTTCTGTGAGCCCGCTTTTCCCTCCGGTGACTAAACTTTCTCACGTCTTTTCAGCTCTTAAGTGTTGTTAGCGTTGTAGTTTATCAGAATTAGTGCTTGCGTGGAGTTGTTGGTTGAAATGCCGGATGAAAATAACATATTTGATCTAATTAGAATGGGAATTTTCCCTAGTCATATATTTTCAGTAGATTAAGCCAGGTAAGCATTTATGCGCTAATGCGTTTTGCAGTAGTTTTTGTATTTGTTTCAGAAGTTTACTTGTTTTAAATAGGTATGGATGGCGGAACAGAAAATATCGTATGATAAGAAGAAACAAGAAGAATTAATGCAACAATATCTGAAAGAACAGGAGTCCTATGATAACAGGTGAGAATTGGCAACTAAGTCACACACTTCTTCCCAATGTCGCTTGGTTTCATGGCAGCGGGCCCTCAGTTATTTGCAATACTGTCTCCCATTGACAGTAGTAGTAGGAGAGGACAGTGACTCATAAATTAGTGTCTGATTAAGCAGAGGTCACAAAAACTTCTTTATAGTGGCTTGTGTGTGCCTTCTAATTTATTTCAAAATATGCGCAGAGGAGCAAGTAACCATGTAGAACCGTATTTGGATCCCACAGAAATCCGTCTTTCATAATTCTGTGGACACAGAGTTACGTTTCAGTTGTGATTGAAGTGTGTGATTTTTGGTAGTTTGGCACACAGAAGTATTGACTGGTCTTACAGGCTTTTTGATACTCTACTGTTGTTACTCAAATTAACAACTGAAAAATTGCCAGGTTTTGTAGCACTTCTTTGTTGCACATTTCTTTCTTTTATAGGTAACACCAATGTGACTGTTTCATGTCTAACACCCCCAACTCTTTCCTCTTTATTTAGATTGCTTATGGGTGATGAGCGAGTGAAGAATGGTCTTAACTTCATGTATGAGGCCCCTCCTGGAGCAAAGAAAGGTACTGAGGTGTCCCGATCGTGAGTACTGCAAGGCTAGAAGCCTTCTGAAGAAATAAGCACAATGTCTTTTTATTTTAAAATAACGAGTTCATAGTGAGGCAATGCTAGAAGGTAGGATTTTTAGTTCTTCCTGAAGACAGACATATATAGTTTGTAATAATTTTTTAATGCTTTAATTTCTCTCATACTGGGAATGGTTAGGGGTTTTTTAAACAATAAAATACCTCCCTTGGCAACAG